GGGGGGGGGGGGGGGGGGCTGGGAACTCAACACCCTTTCTTGGCCGGCGGCTACTGCCGGCGCACGCGATTGCAAAGGAAAATTACTTGCAGGGCATCATGATATCTTCTACATGTATGTGAAGACAGCAAACCAGCAACAACAACAAAATGTTTCTGCATTGGTATGCCAAATGACCACAGCAACAAAATATATTTTTCATGTCAAGACGATCACAACAAAAACTGTTTCTGTCAGGATAACAACAGTGACAGCGACAACGACGACCGCATTAATTTCGACACTTTTCCGAAATGACAAGCAAGTAGTCTTATGGCGCAACACGTACCCTAACGTTCCCCTCGGGGTCTTTAGTGACGATGCCCGGGCGGACCTCGATCTCATCCCCTACCCGCAGCACGCCCTGAACGATCGAACCACCCGCAACACCTGACACACACAAGAAACAACGGCAAGGGGGATACCGTACCGTAGAAAATACGGTAGTATACCACGGAACGACGACGAGGACCCATCAAACATCCAGATCGACGAATTTGTACATATTGTCATCCCATTCACCCTGGACGTCATGGGAATAGAAAATAACCGAATAGGCAGCAATGCGGCGACAACACGGGATTCAAGTGGGATTGAGCTTCTCTCCAAAGAAAGTCACGCACTGATTGAACAAACAAGAACACACACAAGCTCGTTGGGGGCTTTTGTTTGCGTTTTCTGTCTCCGATCCCCAAGACATGACGTCATTTCATTTAGTGCGGTCGGTGCCAACTGAAGACATGTACACACACGCTCTCTGTTTCTAGCCGCACCGAGACTGACGTCTGTTTTTTGGCCAGCCGGTTAGCGCGGTCGGTACGAACTACTATAAAGACACACACACGCAAGTACAAGACGGACTTCTTCATTGGCCAGCCAGTTAGCCCGGTCGATGCAAACAAAAAAAAAACACAACACACACACACACAAATAAACACACATGTTGTACACACCTCCCCTGAGGTGCTCCACCTCCTCGCCGGGCTTGTTTACGTCGAAAGATCGGATGATGATGAGCCGCGGCACGCTCGTGAAGTCCCGCACCGGGATGGGAATCTTGCAGTTGATGTACTCGCACACCACGTCAATGTTGTACTTGAGAACGGCGCTGATGGGGATGACGGGCGCATCGTCCGCCACGGTGCCGGCGACGAACTTGCGGATCTGCTCGTGCTGCAGCATCGCCTGGTCGTGCTTCACCAGGTCCACCTGCGAAAGCACGCACGCACGCACACAGAATCGTCGCACGCTATGGACGTCAAGTGTGTGTGTGTGTGTGTGTGTTTTGACGTGTAGTCCTGGGGGTGGCTAGCCATGCTTGCCTACGTCCAACGTGTGTTTTGATGTTTCTGTGTACGTTTGGCGGCTACATACCTCTGCTTGCTCACGTCCAAAATGTGTACATTCGTTTTCGTTGTAAGTTGACTAGCCTTGCTTGCGTGCTCTTGTAGTTCTCTAGGAGCGAAACAAACGGGAGCCGTGAGGAAAACGAGGGAGATAGACGGGTTAATAATAATAAAAAAAAACAGGACTCGCATCTACAGACCACGTCGACCCCGTCCTCTGCGTTCAAGCGGGCGGGAGATCGAAAGCGCTCCCCTCGTGCAATCTTTCTTTCTACTAGTGCGCCCACACCTTCGTCTTGCTTCCAGAACAAACAAAGGCTCGTACCGGCGAGAAGAGGGGACAGAGAGATGCCGGAATCATCTCTCTACTCTTTAGTTGTTTCTCTTCTCGTACTATTATGCCACATCTGCTGGCCGCGCATAAGCAGCTTCCTCAACAAACGTGTCACGTTCAACCGGTCGCCGCAAACTGCCAACCCTCTCTCTCTGGATTAATGTTCTTTTCCAAGTTTCGAAGAGTCCGCATGTCAACAGTTGCTTACGGTGAACGGATTGTACTTCTCTCCAGCATTCGCTCTTTCCACATGCGAAACACGTCATAACTATCGTTGATTCGCCTAAATCTAGAGTCAGCACACTAGCGCTGGTAAAAAATGAGCGGCAATTCTTGACAATAGTGTGCAGACCCATGACAGCTCCAACAAAACCTCTATACACACACACACGCATTTCGTGTTTTCAACCGCACCGAGACTGGCGTTTTTTCATTGGACAGCCGACTGGAGCGGTCGATGCTAACGAGAACGACGCACGCACACACACACACACAGCAGACGCACCTTGTTTTGAAGGATGATGATGTTTTGGAGCCGCATGATCTCTACGGCGGCAAGGTGCTCGCTAGTCTGCGGCTGCGGACACGTCTCATTCCCCGCTACCAGCAGCAACGCAGCGTCCATCACCTGATGGTCGAGTTTCGAGGGGGTTGGTGGGTCGTAACGTTAACGCAATGTCGGGGCGTGTGCGTCCGGGTACGCCATTTTCGCCATCAACGAGCCAGGGGCTGAGAGCACGTACGGCGGAGAACAGATAGGGAACAGAGTGACCTCACGGTATAACGCGAACACACGCAAGCACAGGAGAAAATCACAAACATGGCGTCAGAAACGCGACGCCGCTACCGCCCAAGCAGCTTGAGCGGCGGGCCAACACAAGCGCGCGGCACCAAGAAGCCTCAGAACAAACACGGCGAGATGTTGGTACGTCGCAGCCACTGCACCAGGGTACCGTATTTCAACTGTGTGTGCACCAAAAAGGAAAACGTTTCCCCGGCTTGTTCGACATATCTCAACGATCACTCGAAAAGCTGCTTCTGGGAATGTGTCGAGACAGCTGTGGGGTGTTCGACTAGCTAAATGGAGCAACGAGACGCGGCAGCAGCAGGAGCACAAGAGTGCGTCTCTCGCTTACCGCCGCGCCGTTAAGCATGGTGGCCATGAGGATGTCGTGCCCCGGGCAGTCCACAAAGGAGACGTGTCTCTGAAGCTCCCACGTCTTCCCGTCCTCCTCAAACCTGTCGCCGTGGTGGCTCCCCTTCGACCTGACGGCAAGAGAGGGCGATCGCGTACGGTCTCAAACGTAGTCACAAAATGGGCGGTTACACGGTGAGACGTGATGCGTAGGCTAGGGTACGCCCAGACGCGGCATTCTGCGGCGCCCCCCATCGCGCCCTAGATGCTTATGACCCTTGATTTGTCTTGTACACATGTCTACATACGGACACAGCAGCAGCAGCAGCAGCAGCAGCAGCAGCAGCACCACCACCACCACCACCAGCACCACCAGCAGAGGCTCTAGCCGTGAACAAGAAGGTTGGTTTACTTCAGCCGCGGACCCGCCTGCTGCTGCCGGTGCTGCTGCTGCTTCATATATACCTGTGAACATCCCGGAGAAAAAAAATAGATGTAGACTACCTGAAGTTTCCTGGCCCCGGCACGGCTCCCTCGACAGCCTTGAAGATCTTGGCATTCGCGTACCCCAGCTTGATGGTGATGTTACGCTCCAGCTCATTCTTGAAGCGAACAGTCTGCCGCATCACGTCAGCAAGGGCAACATTTAAAGCACAAGCAAAGCAGTAGCGGTGAAAACATAAAACCAGCAACACAAAAGCAACGTCAAACACCAACAGGGTGGCGTTAGCGACATCGGGAGTCGCGGGGGGGGGGGGCTGCGAAACGCCTACACTGTGAGAAAACCCACCTGGACTCCCGAGATTGCCTTCACCACGGTAGACTTGCCGTGTGCCACGTGTCCGATGGTACCGATGTTGATGGTTGCTTGGCGGCTGATGACCTCCGGCGTCAACGGAGTTAGGGCAGCCGGGTCTAAAGTTTCCAAGTTCTACCGTGTGGGGGTGTTGGAAGGAATGGTAAAAAGGAGAGGGCGGGGGTTAAGCGAGACGGAGGGCCGAATAAGGAATGTACAGAGAGAAAAAAACAAAAGAAAACTAAGACAACTGTGGCTCGGTGGTACTGCTCGTGCGCTCCTCTCGGAAACATGTTCACATGTACAGGGCAAGCCAGGCATTGAGGCACCGAGCGAGGTGTATTAACCAAACTAACGGATGCGGAGCACGGGTGACCCCCCCCCCCCCAAAAAAAAGCCTCCTTGTATCCCCGGGCAAAGACACGGACGAGGGCGAGACACCTTCTCTGCTGTGTTGTATCAGCTACGATACCAGAGACTACACGCGCCCCCTTTCACCGCCCGGAAGCTTTTCGTTCCGTCATCATGGTTGGCGCTCGCGTGTAACCTCGGTGCCCCACCTCCAGCGAGTGACGCACCGGATCAGCTACCGTATGTCCGCCCGTTTACCACTCGGAAGCTTTGGTTCCCGGAAGCTTTGATTCCGTCATCATGGGGGGCGCGCGCGCGCTCGCTTGCAACCTCGGTGCATCACCTCCCACACAAGCACAAACAATACAGCCGGAGAAAAACGAAAAAGTGTACCGAGGGGAGGCTACTCGTAAATTATAAATTATCCCTTCGTGAGTTCTGTCTTTTTGTCGGGTCGCGTACCTGGACGGCGAGGTGCTCCTGCTTTACATCATGGCGCCCCCTGCGAGACTCTGGGGCGGGAGCGGGAGCGGGGGCGGTCGCCGGCGCCTGATGAAAAGCACCAACACCAACAACACGACAGCACAAATCGGCAGCGAGGCACAGGCGCGAGAGAGAATAAAGTTCAGACACACCGGATGCCAAAGACTACAGAGTCCGAGAAGTAATGACGAAAGGGTGGGTTTCCTTGACATGAGATTAACGTAGGAACGAAGGTGGTATGAATGGTTCCCGGGGCGTGCAACAGCAAGGAAGCAAATGAGGTGGCTGTTGGAGTAAGCGGTGGAAGCCGTCAAGAGACCGGGCATACCAAGCCCCCTCCCGCGTGCTCTCTGTGTCTCTGTTTTGTCGTTGTCGATATGCCTGCAATGATGTCTATCTGTCTGTCTGTCTGTCCCCCGGTCTCTGATTGGACATGAAGAGCATCACAAACAGCACACCATGTTCCCTTTCAAGATAAACAAAATGGCGAACGAGAAAAACGCCACCAGACACAACCAACGATCAGGCTTGATTGCGTCTTGCTAAATAACGAAGAGAAACATCAAGCTAACAAAGGAGTCGGGCCTGCAACTCGCAAAACAACTAGCAGAAAACGAGGGCACGCGCCCAAGAAACCGCGCATATTTGTCCGCCATGACTTCAACGACAAGGCACAGTCTTCTCCGTGTTTCACAGCGTTCGGTTCAAGGTGTCACGTAGATCATCATTCTGGCCAATACCTCACACTAAATAAATCCTGGTCTAGGATGAAAGCGACGCGCTGCAAAGGTCGTTGTTAGTAAACCATAATCGACTTCGTAAGTCGCGAGGGAAGAGATTGCTGTACCCTTCTCGCGATAAAAATACCTCAGGCAGGAACCGCAGGAGGGGGTCCAGCCCCCCCCTCCTATGTGACCCCGGTTGGGTCGTCTAGCTAGTAGAAGTGGAGGATAAGGGCCAGAGGGGCAGACAACAGAGTCCAATGGTGGAAAAAAAAAAAAAACTAACATCTGAGGGGAGGGCCACGGGCTTCAACAACCGTCACCCCAGACTACTGTTGAGGTTGTCGACAGGGCAGCGGGGGGGACAGGTTGGGATGAGTGGATGGGTGGATGGGGTGAAGGTCACAATGGGCGAGTGGCCCTCCCGCGCAGCGACCCGCCAATACGCATCTCCCGCGCTGCGTCTGTTTTCTCTTTTGGCGTGCAATCTACAGCTAAGCGAAGATACCAGCTTCGCGTCAAAAGGCTGACACCGCGGTGCTTGAGCGGCGAGAGAGAAAAAAAAATGACGGACGGACGAACGGAGGTCTACAAAGCTTGATCGCGTCACACGTACCACGTGTGTACATTGTAGAGAGAACTGAAGTGAGACTCCTGCTCCAACAATTAGTCAAACATAATTAGCGGACGATCACATGGTTGTTGGACAATCCCGCTCGATGGGTGCCCATATGGGGGTTTGAGTGCGGCAGCCCCAAAGCGGCAATTCGCCCTCCCATCTCGCGACCGCGAGCACTGCTCGGGGTCAAGGCCTTCGCTTCAATAACTATGCAAACTCATGTGCTGCTGCCGCCGCGGCCGGCGGCTGGTTATTTGGAAGATGCGGTGCTGGATCGCTGGAGAGGTCTCTTGGCGTTCACGTTCCTACGGGGACTGCTACTGCCGTATCTCCCAGTGCAGCATTCTTGCTCACCCGGCTGTCGAATGGACTGACCGTCCCGTGCGTCGGCATTTGCCATCAGCCGCGCGTCTATCCTACACGACTCCACAACACGCGCCGCCCCGTGTAGTTGAGGTTGAGGCTACCGACTGCTACCTGCGGCGGCAGAGCCTCACCAGTTGGAACGTCTTGCGCGTTGTATTGATATTGGCAAAGATACCTCGAAGTGCACTGCTGTTGCCAACAAGAGAGGGGGGGGGGGGGGGG